GCTGTTTGAATTTCCATTGTCCATTGATAGTGCCCTCTGTCAGACAATCCACCCTTGCTTATGTAATTGCAGCATTCCTGCAGTTCGCTCTGTTCTGTCCTGAAGGCTCAGTTGCAGGACACACTGAGAAAAGTAGATACAGCACAGCACCAAGCTGCTGACCTTAGAAACAAAGTGAGGCCCATCTTATACAACTGGCTTTTTGATGAGTACTGTATTTCCAACGGGCCATTTTCATGCTGACCCTGTGTCTTCTAAAAATGTTTATATTTAGAAAAAATGTTATATTTAAGTTTAGGTATACCTATACTGTACACAATATTATGAATAAAATCATTTCCTTTAGAGTTTGTCAAAAGGGGGCAAATTTTTCATTCTTAGATAAAACTCTGACCTTCAAAAGAATTAAATATTAAATTCTGAAACACATAAAGGAAATTTCACAGAATCTTAATAAGGCTTTAAGAAAGACTGAATTTCCTTAACAGTTGAATGTGCCTAACTAACTGCCAAAGAACCAAAACTGAGTAGGGGAATTAAATTACTTTCTGGTTATATAAAATTCACATTATACTTTCCTTATTTGTTTTCCTTTTAAACAATGTCAAACTCATAGAAAAGTCCCAAGTACAAGATAAAGAAGTTTTCCCCTCTGAACAACTTACTGACCTGTTGCCTGACAACCTTAGAAAAACTGAACAAATATTATTTCATCCTTTTCCCACTCTCTAGTTCCCTGTCAATCTCACAATCAAATGTTTAGCTATCTAGCTGAATAGTCTATAACAGGAGCATATAGATCTGCTGAGTAGTTCTTTATTCCATCTTTTAAACTTCCATCTTGTTTCTTTCATTCTAGTATCTAAAGAAAAATATAATAATAAGCCACAAAGTTCAACTTGCAAAAACAGGGAGCCCCGCTGATGAGGAATAGTTTCAAATAAGCAAGATTCCCTTTATTCCTGTTTCAAAGATGTTTTTCACTTCTGCCTTTAAACATGGGTCCCTCCTAAGTGGGGCAGAGGAGAAAAGTAAAGAGAGTGAGGAAACTATCTTTCAGGCAACCTAGGCACCTTCACATGCTGTCATCCTATCCCTTTCCCTTCGGGCACTGCCAAATAGATCCACGTGTTTACCTACCATCAGTTCCCTCTGAAATGCATTGTTTGGGCTTTAGCCTTCATCTCTCCATTGATATCACATGATTAAAAGTCACTGATGAGTTCTGAGTCAAAACTGACCTTTCAATCCTCAAAAGCCTCAAAAGATCTCCAGAGCCCATGACCTCTATGGACTTCCCTGCTTTTACCTCTCCTCTTTCTCATACTCCATGACACAAAAATACCCTACTCTTGCTTCTATTTCTTTAAACAAGTCCCAACCATTCCACAGGTTTTTTTCTTCCTCCTTTTTGTCTCCCTACACTCAACATCCACCAGGCTTTAACTCTCATCTCTTTGCAACTTATAGTCAAAACCATAATTCTACATCAATTCCCTCTCACATTTTCCAACTATCATCTTTAATTTTGCAACCAATTCCTCCACTTGGACTTTTGACTCATATTCTTGCAGTCACCGCAACTTCTTTTCTTCCCTGCACCCCAGCCAACCAGTCACTATGTCTAATTTTGCCTGGAACAGCAGCTACTCAGTTCCAGCCAAGTGTTACCACAGAAGAATGCTGACCCACTGCTGACAGATGGTCCGCTTTTTGTTTTCTTTTCAGGAGAAGTCCAAAATGTGACTTGTTAAAGGAAACTTAAATTTTAGATGAGATCTTCCAATGTTTAAATACTCATAATTTTTATAAACAAACAAAAAAACACCCAGCATCTGGATCAAACAAAACCTTTCTGCAGCCTGTCCAATTGTGACTAGTAGCCTGCAGAATGAATGCAAATGCCTTAGCATGCTGAGTCTTCTTAAACCATCCTGAAACTACCTTCTGAATTCCATTACCAATACTTCAAAATAACCACTACAAGCCAACTGTTTTGTAATACTATATATACTCCAAGCACACTTGGTTCTTTCATATCTCCATGCCTTTGCCATGTTTATTCTCTACATTAAAAAAAAAAAAAAAAGTTTTTCTTTTTTCCCAAGTCCCACTTTATGATCAGTTCAAAAGCTACCATTTCTCTGAAAACTTCCTGAACCACATTAGTTTATGAGACTATCTCTCCCATAGTCTAGAGACATGAATACCTAGTACTGTGTGCCAGGCATAGTCCTGGACATTTCATAAGTTCCCTCCCCCACATACAATCCTAAGAAATTGATACTAACATCATGAAAATACTGAAGATAGCCCAAGGTAAGTGGCAGAGCAGGGGTTGTAACTACACAGAAACTCCATTTCTTTAACGTGGTCCTTTCTCCTTTGGATTTTTCTCTGTCTGTCAGAGTCCACTCCCTTACTTAACATTAAGTCCTTAGGACTTCAGATTGTGTTCATTATCAATGTGTCTCAAGAACAAAACCTCAGGTCGGCTGACCACAAAACAGAGTTTCCTTCACAGTAAAGATATAGCATCTAGACTTCATTGAGTTTCAGTCCCAGGCCCATTAAAGCAGAAAGACCCTCCCCTATCTGGCCCACCGCCTCAGGAAACCAGGCAGAACAGAGCTCTGGCTGACATCCGCACCTGATACAAAGATCAACTCCTCCCTTTCCTGATCCCAACCCATCAGAAGAACCTAGGATCCCAACTCCTTTAACCACCACAATTAATGATTTCTCCCTATAACACCCATGCCCTGGAAGCCACTGGGGAGCCAGATCTTTGAAGGTTAGTTTACCTGAGACTCCAAGCTTGGCACCATTTTCTCAACTAATACTTTCTTGGCTGCAAACTCCCCATGTGTTTGATTGCACTTAAATGTGCCCAAATAGACCCATTTAGTCTGGTAGCAGGGTTGAACTAACAGCTGTCTTGTTCCAGTGCAAAAAGAGTAAGACACTCATGTTTTAAACATGTCATATGGCATGTGTTATGTGGGAGGAAAAAAATGTTCAAATCCTTAGCAAGTCTTCTAAGACCACTCAAAATATGCCCTCTTCTTCCATTTCTTGATAATTTCCCTGTCATTCCTTAAGCTTCAGCCACAATAGCCTGCTTTCAGTTTATAGAACTTACTGAGCTATCGTATAATTCAAGACCTTTGCAAATGCTGTTTTCGTTGTCTGGAATGGTCTTCCCCTCTTCTCACATCTAATCCCTATTATTCATTTTGAACCCATTTTAAAGATTTCCTCAAGACTCCTTTCTTTCCAGCAGTGTTTGATTGAATAGTACTGTTAGAATAATATTTGACTAAATAACATCATTCAGTTGTTATCCTTTCTTCTCCATGTATACTTGGCCACTGCTTTATGTTTGGCCATCGTTTTTTGTTTGGACTAGCCCAGTGACTTTTTGAGTTCTTTGCACAGTGTATTGGAAGAGATAGTCATATAAATCATTTCAGTACCATACTTTATGACAGATATGTGGGCAGAGAACTTTGAGAACACACTCTTGGGAGATGAAATAATCTATGTTTTGATCTAAGAAACAGTAGGAGGGTTTCCTGCTCCTAAAATAATTGTGGTATGAGAGTGCAAAATACATATTCTTCCTGTAACGTTTACAGGGCCTGCCTATTTCATTCAAGTTGTGGTCTTCTTTATTTAATTAATCTTTATATTACATATATATGGAAACTGAAGCACAGAAAGTTTAAGTAACATGCCTGTGAACACTCAACCAGTAACTGCAAAAGCCAGGACTCCAGCCCAATATTCTGGTTCCAGCTCTCAATCATCATGATTCCCAAAAACTCATTGGTGAATGCCTAGTACTTGGGTCATTGCCAGGCAGGTAAAGAGGATGAGTCAAACACTGCTGTCAAAATAAGAAGTGGGAGGGGAAAGGCCCTCAGATTCTCAAAGGAAAACCATGCCAACATTTTCAAACAGGACAGGGCAGGGGAGGGTGGCAACACAGATCAGCTCTGGTCCACCTATGCTTCCCCGCTCCAAGTTCCCTGCCTTCAACAGGATGCAACCCTGACCATCTCACTGCTGGGAACTTGGGAGTGGGAACGCTTCTTGCAGTGCTTCTAAAACTTTCTCGGGAAACATTGCTCCCTGATGGCTGGCAGATGAGCGCAACCACAGTCATACCTGTGAAGCGTGTGTCCCAAAAAGTAGCCACAGCTCTGAATTCTTTCTCACGGACTGTGTCTCACCCTTACTGTTCTAGCAAGTTGCTGTAAGGTATCTCTGACTGTTGTGATATAAAAAAGTGTTTATAGCTACTTATAATTGCTGCTCTAGAAAAGCCTTTGCTCCTACCATGGTTTCTAGCACCACCTGGCCTCTGTGTGCATTCTTTCTGGGCATTCTCATACTCCGGCTTCCTACACAGACCAGGGCCTTGGAGCTCCTTACCATGACACATAAAACCCTCCCGGGCCCAGCCGTGATGGACAGCCCCTCTCCCACCTCTCCGGCTAACACAATCAGAAACAATCAAATTCTAACCGGATTTCCAGCTCCCGGTCTCAGAGACTTAGGTACTCGAGTACTTTGAGAAGACACACTCACCCACCCCAACCCTACTTGGGTGTGAACTTACTGAAGTCCTTCCTCTATCTCCTTCTTCCCCACGGCCACTGGGCCATATTTCCCTGGTTTAAGAGAGTGCTTGCATTTGTTTACAGGGCTTCTTCCCAGGTTGGGCTGTGCTGTTCCTGGAGACAGGCCCTCGATTTCATCAGTTTAACATCCCAGGGCCGCGCAGAGCCCTGCCATCCAGGTACATCAGTCTACTACGGGAAACTGGGCTCCCCATACCCGACTTCCTCAAGAGACGGCAGGAAAAGCTGTGAAACTGAACTGAAACACACACGGACATCTGCAGCCTCCATTCCCATTCCCCATGGAGCCCCGGGCTCCCGAGCAGGGGGCGTCGAGGCCGGGGACAGGGAGGGCGGGCAAGAGGGGTCACTCACCAGCTGGTGGAAGGGTGCCTGTTCTCCAGCGTCTTGGTCCAGGGCCTGTACCAGCTGATCTGCTCGGCGGCTTTGCCCCAGAACCGCTCGGGGTCGGCCACCGAGGCGGCGAAGTGGGTCCGGTACTCGCCGCCGCCGCCGCCGCCGCCCGCGGACAGAGCGCGGCAGCCGCGGCCCCCGAGCGCGCCCCGCGGACCCGGGGCCACGTACGCCCTGCGGGCCGGGCCGGCTCCCCGCGCCTGGGGGGGCCCGGGCAGGGGGCCCCCGAGCCCCCCGGCGCCCGTGACTTTGCGGCACTGCAGCCAGGACGGCTTCATCGCCGCCAGCGGCCCCCCACCCCTGCAGGACCTGCGACGGCGGCCCCCGGAGCGCACCCCTCGGGCGGCGGTTGGGTTGGGGTGCAGGAGACTTCCCGGGGCCCCGCGGACAGCAGGCGGGAGGCCGGCGCTAATTGCGGGGCGAGTGGCAGCCTCGGAGTTTGCAAGTCACACTAGAGTCGCCGGGAAAAACCGACCTGGAGCCGCAGAGGAAGCAACAGGCTGGAGTTGGGGGAGAGGGAGGAAGGAGGGGGGAGGAAGGGGAGGCGTCCCATTGCCCTGCGCGCGGTGAGGGAGGTCCTGCAAAGAAATCCAACCTCTCCGTGCATTGCCCACCTCGAGGTCCCCAGGAAGAGCGCCCTCAGACTGCAGCACGGCCTCCCTTCCCTCACACAGAGCCCCGGGGTGAAGCCCACGGGCCCCTCTCACTCAGTTCTCAGGCAAAAGCCAGTGTGATCACCTCCCCGGGCAAATCTCTGGAGAGCCAGCTGGGGGTGCAGGCGGCCTCGCCTTTGGGCTGCAGCGGATGCCAGCACCCCGGGGTGTGCGGCGAGGCCCCTGAAGTGTCCGTTTAATTGATCTGTTGTTTCAACTCAACTCAACCCCTGGTTATTAAAAACACCAGCGGCTCCGGGGCAAAGACTGCTCCAGGATTTCCTGGCAGCTGAGAGAGGAGGAGGAGTGGTGAGAAGTTTTGTGGGCAGAATTGGGAAATGCTTTCTGGGGATCAAAGACAGGCCCCTGCATAGATAACCCCATGAGATAAGGACTTCACCTGCTGGCTGGCTGGACTCCCCAATGGACTAGAAAAAAAAAAGAAAAGAATGGACTTGTTACATTTCCTCCCTAACAATTTGTCTCTTTGGAGTTTCTGTGGGCCTTTTATTGATTGGGGGGAGAGGCGGGGAGGGGAGAATGAAGATCTGAGGAAAGAAGAAGCTGAAGACAATTAAAAGAGAAAGGCGATATGAATTAGTATCTGGGTTCACCATTCTTCAAGCTCCTTTCCTGTTTTATTTTTTCACATGTTAGTGAAATTCATGTGCGATCTCATTTGCCTTAGGAGTATGCCAAGCACGTTCCATTTTGGCGTGGTAATATTTTCTGTTTTAAATGAAAGATGTGCATTTCCAAATCTGAGGTGAGAAATAGTGGAATGCCCTGGCCCTAGGAAGGATTGTAAACCTGAGAAGTTGTAAACAGATTATTCTGCAGGAAAAGATAAGGGTTAAGCAGAACAGAGATAAATTTATTGCAAAGCACACAAACAAGAATCTCTAACCACCCGGGCTATTTCCTTTCAACTGAGAAAGAAGGCACTAGACTTCCCTGACTCCTGCAGAGTGCTTTATTCCTTCTATTGGCCTCAAATCAAAATGATTTCCAATAATGAAGACATTTGTCACCATTTGAATCCAGGGAACGTTACAAAGCTATTTAACCTCCTGGCTCCCTTCTTTCCTCTGCTCAGTTGCTTAATGCTGCTCTCTGGCATACAAGATCCCCGGGGCCCTAAAGTATTCTCTGTTGTATTACAGTGGTGTCCATGTTAGCATTTGCTTAACAAATACGTGTATGGGAGCACCTGCACAGTGAGGTAAGGTTGACTGGAGGAGCTGTGAAGAAAGGAAGCAGACAATCGTTGACCTACTGTGTGTATATAGGGCATTCCCACTTTCAAATATGTCAGCCTCTCAAAGGAGCACCAAGAAGTGGGAATTATAACCCCCACCCCCACTTTTACAAATAGAAGTTAACCTGCTCAAGGTCATGCAGCTACCAAACCAAACAGGAATCAAACCTTGCTGATGCTCAGAGCAACCCAACCACCTAGTGAGGCATGTGTGCCCTGAGATGGACCACCCTGTCTCAAGGTGGAGGCCTTGCACAGGGACAGTCAGCTTCAGTTCTCTCCTTACCCAGCACACTATACAAACACCACCATTTCCTCTGAGGTCCCTGACTTTGGAAAGATGGGGAATCTGATTCCAAAGTCCAGGATTTTACCACCAGGCTAATTTTCTTTTTATCTTAAAAAATTAGACTTCCAGCCAAAACCGGTTTGGCTCAGTGGATAGAGCATCTGCTTGGGGACTGAAGGACCCCAGGTTTGATTCAGGTCAAGGGCATGTACTTTGGTTGCGGTCAGATCCCCAGTGGGGGATGTACAGGAGGTGACTGATCAATGTCTCTCTCTCTTCAATGTTTCTGACTTTCCATTCCTCTCCCTTCCTCTCTGTAAAAAATCAATAAAATATATTTTTAAAAACTAGACTTCCAATAAAATATGACAAATTGAATGCCCAGATGTGTTATTCTTCATCTAGAAACCCTACTGAAAAAGGATTAAAACACACACGCACACAAAAACAAAAAACAAAAAACAAACAAACAAAAAAAAAACAAGCCCCAAACAAACAGAGAACAGAAGAGAATAAACCAAATGGGAAAATGGAAAAGAAAGGTGGATTTAGGACTTAAAAGGAGGGGTAGGTGCTGAATTTAACTGCTTTTAGAGGAGAAAATGATTTTCTCATGGTTTGGAGGCCTGGGGTTCCTGTCAAGGTTCAAACTGGAGGTTAAAGGGGCTAAAAACTAAAGGATTAATTAAAAGATTGTGTAAGGTGAAGTTAGACCCCCACATAGACAGATGAAACCATCTTCTCTGGGCTCAGCAGTACAATAGTCTACAGGTGATGCCTGAAAACTTAGATAGTACTGAAACCTATATATGTGTTATTTTTGCTACACATACATGCCTTTTCACTTAAAGGAAACACTTTTCTTGCTTCTCTTCAAATTGCCAGAATCACTGCTCTTCTACTTTGGAGCCATTATTAAATAAAGAGAGGGTTACTTGAACACAAGCACCACAATATCAAGACAATCCTGATAACCAAGATGGCAAGTGAATGAGTGACGGGCAGGAAGCATGTGTACAGCTTGGATACACTGGACAAAGAGATGATGCATATCCCAGGCAGGATGGAGCTGGACGGTGTGAAAGTTCATCAAAACAGCTCATAATGGAAAAGCTATGAATTGTTCATTTATGTAATTTTCCAAATAATAGTTCTTTGGCTACAGTTGACCATGGGTAACAGACTGCAAAAAGTGAAACCACAGATGGGATGGGGGTGGGGGATGGCAACTGTCCATTGTCTTGTTTTGAGTAATTGTACAGAATAGACTATTAATGTAAGTTCCATTACAGGTCAAGGAGAGAGCATGAGTGAAGGCACAGTCCAACAATGGCTACAATGTAGTGTAGGGATGGAGCAGGAGTGGACAGTAGCAATAAAAATATTTACTGGAGCTAGATAAGGAAATCTGAAATAGTGTCAAATGCAGTCCAGGGCCTAAGGGTAGATCATTGGCCTTTATATTAAGACTAAAGGCCAGTGAATGGAATTCGTGCACTGGTGGGGGTGGGGAGTGGCCTGTGGGGATTGGCCTGCTGCAGGAGCAGCCATTCATCATGGTCAGCTGAGCAGTATTCATACGGTGGGAACACACTGACCACCAGGGGAAGCTCCTGCATTGAGTAACTGCTCCCTGGTACTCAGTGCTCGTCATAGCTAGTGGTTGATCAGTCATTTTGGTCATTCTGTCATTTGTCAGACTGATCACTAAGCATATGAATCTCAATTAAGTCTCAATTTGAATCCTAGTATCTAATAAGTGGGAAAACTTGGGAAATACATTAATTCCCTACACTGTCCTGGCAGGCATGGCTCAGTGGTTAGAGTGTCAGCCCAATACACTGAAGGGTCTCAGTTTTTATTCCCGGTAAAGGGCATGTACCTGGGTTACAGGTTTGATCTCTGGCCCCCAGTCTGAGTGTATGCAGGAGGTGACCAATGGATATATCATTCTCACACTAATATTTTTCTCTTACTATACCCCCACGGCCCTCACCCTTTCCCTCCCTCCATTCCACTCTCTCTAAAGAGCAATGGAGAGGGAAAACTAAGATGACGGCATAGTTAAATACTTAAACTGTTGCCTTGTACAACAATTTCAAAACTACAACTAAAAGACAAAACAGACATCATCCAGAACCACAGGAAGGCTGGCTGAGTGGAAATTCTACAACTAGAAGGAAAGAGAAAAGCACACAGACTCAGAGGAGCTGCAGGAGGCAGAGGTACTGGAACATGCATAGAGAGGACTGGCAACTGAGTGTGTGGCTGACTTTATCAAGTGGGAGAGAGACTAAAGTTCCTGACTGTGCTGAACTCCAGTTCCAGTTGAGACTCTGGGGACCCAGACTCATTCAGGGAGAAAGTGGACTATCTGGCAGCAGGCAGAACTCAATGGCGGCTTTCTCTCAGAGGTACTTGTAGTGATTATCACGGGACACTGAGACACAGGGGCCTATTAGAGCAGGGCTGATGAGAAATCATTGCTGTCTGCTCCACCCTGTGACTCCACTCCATCCAAGCTGAGCACAGAGGCTTTTGCAAGTCTTGTCTCATAAGGATGTTTCCAGCACAGAAGTTCTCCTAGCATAGACACAGCTGATCCTCACGGCCAATTGGCCTGAAGGTCAACTCCCCTCAGTGATACCAACAACAATCAAGGCTTAACTACAATAAGACTGTGCACACAGCCCACAAAGGGGTGGACCAAGAATGTCTACCTCAGATAACTGGGAGGCTGAGTCACTGGGCCTTGCTAGGACACCTAGCACACAAAGCCACTCTATCATCTCAGCAGCAAAAATGTGGAGACAAAGAAACAGGTAACAAATAAAAGAAATGGAGAAAAGTAAACAACTGGATATAGAGTTCAAAACAACAGTTAAAAGGTTTTTCAATAATTTTCTAGAAAAGGCTGATAAATTTAGTGAGACCACCAAGGATATGAAAAAAGGAACAACTAGAAATTAAGCATACACTGACTGAAATAAAAAATTTTGTACAGAGATCTAATAGCAGACTAGAGGATTGCAAGAATCAAGTAAAAAATTTGAAATACAAAAAAGCAAAAAACACTCA